CTGTGGAGGCTGCAGGTTAATGGCCATTTAACCTGGTTCTACCTTTACTGTCCCGGCTGTGTGCTAATGCCTTTGAAAACCTGACACAGGCATCTCTATTGCAGATCAGCAGCTTTATCGGTTTGTGTGTGTGTGTGTGTGTGTGTGTGTGTGATTTTTGCACATGTGCAGCCTATTTCACAGACTAACCAAAGATGAAAGCCCCAGTATAGAGTCCAGGCCAGCTGAGGTTCATTCAGCATAGGCTTTTTTAATGTTTTGTTTCACTGCATCAAGTGTCAATTTAATGCCCCGAGCTCCATTTTTGAGGCTGTGGAACATAATAATGTCTGTGCAGACTCTATGCATTTCACCGGATACCTGACAAACACTTCATGCATCTAAAAATGGCAATATCCTCTCCTAGGTTCAATATTTTCAGAAATACAATCTTCAATTTGAGGGCCATTTGGAAGTTCCATCACAGGTAAAGGAAATGTACAGTCTATCCGCTCTGCTATTATGGACCAGGAAGAACATCGTACAATGGAAAAATGTATTTGAACTTAGACTTTAACAATAACTTCTTGCTCCCACATTCATACAAGAAAAAGATTAGTACACTGGGTCAAAGTACCTTCGTACATTCCTCGCAAAGAACGTCTTGGCAGCAGTCTCTTTAAAAGAACCTTGATTGAGGAGAAACAACAACGGTTCCCAACACAGACCAAATCTTAAATGAAAAGTCCGCTCAACCTTTTAAACGATTGGAGCACCAACCCTCTTCTCCTCCTGCTTTTAGTCACCTCTAATAATCAATGCACCGGGGTCGCTTCCCTCCACGATTCGCCTTCGCTCTCCTGCTCCCTTCCCTCCTCACTTCCTTTCAGGGCCTCACAAAGAAGCCATTTGCATCCCTCAGGGTTGCTATGACACTCGGCCATCCCAACTTGAAATGCCTCGCCTTTGCTTTGAAGGTGCATTTCAAGAGGAAAACAGCTGCGAGAGAAGAACAAAAGACGTGGGGTACGCGGCGCTGAATGCGTTGTGTTTAAGGGTTTTCCACTAACTCAGTCACACCAACAGCTTTTGTTTATTTATCGACATTTGAGACAGTGTTTGTTTCCTTGTACCCTGCCTTTGTCTGTGTGCAAGGGTGTTTTTTTCCAGAATGTCTAGGCCGCCTATTGAGCTCATGTTGAATCCCTGCGTGAACACATCACAGCCTCAAGGCAATGACTATTCCTCCGAGCTCGCTCATAATGGTTTACTCTTTAGCCGTGTCTGCAATCAGCATGCAACAGATATAGAGAAAATGGCTGCTGTGATGGTGCAAATGAATACACAGGAGGACTGGAAGGCTTTGTTACATGCACACTCAATGTTGCAGGTTTTGTAAAGAATCTTTCCCATTTAACTGCATCATTTGTGATTTTGTGGGTGTTGCGGCGAACCTTTTGAACAGTAACATTGACGATGAAGTACTGCTCTGAGTACCTTATCGCTTTTATAATACGGTTAGAGACATTATAAATAGTAAGTAAATAGCTGCGTGTTAGCACAAAATAGTTGTAACCACCAAATATTGCATTTCAGTAGCCTAGAGAAAATAGTCCCTGTACGTGTTGCTGTTGCATTGGGAACATCACGTTTGTTAGTCTAGCACCAAGAGTTGGTTGATGATTAGCTAGGACGTCGTCTGAAGACATCCCAGGTCTCCTTACTAGATCTCGCACCATCGGATTCATTCACATTGCTCATGACGTCCACCTGAATTGTTCTCTGTAGCTAAAAGTATGCCCAAATTTTTTTCCAGCGATCGCCAGTGCGCAGTAATATGAAACGCTTGGGTCAACGTGAACAGCAACTGTACATCATCGCCCAATATTGTGCCCCTCGTGACTCACTCTCAACCCATCAGAACGCTGGATTTAATCCACCCGTATTATTATTAATTGTTTGTCCTCATAAAATGATTACAGAATGAGAATGTAGCGCTATCGTGTTTGAGACAGATTGTCCCTGCAGGGAACTCAGTGTCTCAAGTGACAGTGGGCCTAAATCAAGTCCTACCAGCAACCCTCAAGCTTCATTACTGTACATTAGCGTTCCCGTCACCACTCGCTTCTGTCACTCCTGCACGGCGCTGCAATTACAGAATGTCACTTTCCACTGTGGGAGGTCGCCGGTGCTAAATCAGGCTAATGCTAACGGTCGAGACGGTTTTGCGAGGCGTGGTTTATGCTCGTCCTTGGCGCGACGTGGCAGCATCCCACTCCCTGTCGGCCGTGATGGTTTTCAGTGGTTCCTGCCAGGCTGTGCGCCCCCTCCCTTCAGCACTCCTGCTCCATCCATCTCGTGGTTTCGGGCTTGGTCTCAAATTCAATTGACCTTTTGTTACACCTCGCAGCGAATGGGCACCGTCCAGCCTCACCAGTAGCCAACCCAGAGCTCTCATACCTCTTCATTTGATCTGTCCTGCAGAGTCCAGCACTTTCATTACCCACCCAAACCCCCCCTCTGCACAGCCCATCTCCTCCCCTCCTCTTCGGCTATGTCCTCTTTTATCTCTGGCCATGTCTCTTAGCTGGAAGGTGTATGAGTCCCTTTCAGGTGGTGGAGGTGATATATTTCACAAAGAGAATGCGGTTTTGTCCCCCTCCTCCTCTTCCTCCCCTTCATGTTCTTGATTGTTGGTGATCAGCTTTTATTTGTGCCAGCTCGGCTTGCTTTGAATACAGCACTTTTTTCCTCTTTTCACCTTCAGAGGATTTTTTTTTTTCTGACTGCAAAAGTGCTGAGGTAGCTTCTTTGTCGCTCAAGGCAAAAAGGGCCATGAATTGCTGTTTCGGGGTCAAGGTCTTGTGACCCCGACCTGCCAATCATTCTGATCTTTGGAATTGACAAATTAATCCTTTCGACCTTGTTTCAGCCTCTAATTAAATCTTAAGTCAAACAAGGACCATTGGTACAGTTCGATTCCATTCATTTTATTTTGTATAGCCCAAAATCGCAAATTTGCCTCAGAGGGCTTTACAGTCTGTACACATTGCTCAGCGGACAACTCTTCCCCATCATCTGGATTCTGCTGTTATTCCGTAGTTGCTTCTCATCATCTCATGCTTCTGCACATGCCCTCGTCCGAGCATCAAAGTCATTAAATCTTTTCTGTCCCCTCTCCACCTCTACATCCGCCTGAGCTCCAACCCCAGTATGCTCTGCTGCTCTGTGATACATACCAACTTCAGCAGCTTTAGCACCTCATGTGTGACCACTACCAATCACAGCTCTCTGTCGTACAATGTGTGCTTTGCTGACTGTTCAACTCGGCATTTTTTCAGTGTGTGTATATATATATACACACACACACACACACACAAGTCCTGCTCTTTCAGCATTACAAAACAGCAGCAATATTGTGTTACTAAGACGATGACGGCATTGGGAATTCTGGATAATGTACCATAAATGGCGGGCTAAAATCACATTTATTCTTTCAACATTTACTGACAATATGATTACAATTCATTTTAAAATAATGCAAAGATCAAACTTCAAACACTTTAACAAAATATTTCGCCATTAGCAGCAATTTAGCAATGGTTGTTACATTATCATTATCATTATTATGTTACATACCAAACACTATCAAATCAATTATTAACAATATCAGTACATTTCTTGAATTGTTGTACAAACGTTGCTTGGATAACATTTTACGTTATAGAGTTTCATTAAATGAATAGTGTAACATTTTGTAACCTAGTACTTGTATGTCATGATAGTAGATGGTAGTAAGATAGATAACTATATATAGTTATCTTACAACTATCATGACATACAAGTCAAGCACTAGAGTGTGATTGGCCTACTGCAGAGGGCGTAATGCATATTTCTTTCTAAGTCTTGGAAGATTTCATTAGCATCTAGAATTTTAGCGAGCGGTTCATGGCAACGTGCATTTTGCGGAGAAACTAAATGTAAACAATTATTTTATTTTTTTCTCAGTTGGAGGCACAGAAGGCATGAGTCTTTAACGTGCAGGCTGTTGCATTGTTCGCATTAGTGTGGCTCTAGATTTTATAATAACGTTATCTTATGATATGAATATATGCAACATTCAAACATGTGATTCACAGATTCATGTACATTTCTAGCAATTGTAAGATGTGGGAAATTTTCCAAATTTTTTTCAGCCAAGGTGCTTTGGTTATTCCAATGTACGAGTTCAGTTCTCTTACAATTCCCAGGGGAGGCAGGAAGGAGGGTGCCCACAACCACAACCACAACTCTAGAGAGAGAGAGCCCAGCTACTTTTACAAGCCTCCTAATGAGAGCTGTAAGAGAGCAGGACCCATGAAACCGAGCAGCTTGTGAAAGTACAGAGGCACCACGCCGCCTTCAAATTTGATCAACGTACAGATATAAAAAAAGTGGGAAAGTGGGAAAGAAGTATGAGTGCATGTGAATATCAAACTGGAAAGAAGTTTTTGCATTTAAAAAAAATATAAAAGGACCATTTGCAAGAGAGACAGGAAGAGGGTTGATTTGGCAGAATTAAGGGGTTCAACCTTTAGTTTGGCCTTTGTGCTATCGCATTTGCTGCTCTTTGAAGGTGATCATGGATTTTATGCGCCAGTCTTCCGTTCTTCAACCCTCTATAATTCCCTTTTGAGTGGGTTATGTGTGCTGCTCTGAGTAACGCCTCAACATTCCTCATGAAGTGCTCTGATAAAAAGTTAGGCCACGGCTGTGTGGAAGACCAAGAGACCAAGATACTCAAAATATGTAAACACAACTGTTACGATCAACACTCATTTGCAAGTGCATGGAGCATTCAGGATGCAGCACACTCATGTTTAGGTCACAGCCTCGGCTTTTACGAGCTCTCGCACGTACTATTGACTTTTAGATGACATTCCACAGATATGCATCACGTTTAGAATTGACAAAGTAAGCCATATGGCTGGGATGAAGAAATTCATAATGTTAATACCATTTATGTTATTGTGTTCCTGCAGGTTCCTCTTATTACGACAACGTGAGGCCGCTGGCGTATCCCGACTCAGATGCAGTTCTCGTCTGTTTCGACATCAGTCGCCCGGAGACGTTGGACAGTGTCATAAAAAAGGTCGGAGTTTTTTCTTAATTTTATCTACTCCACTCAACACTTTGGATCAGCCTTTAATATCTGCTGTGACACTGGAGAACTAGCTGGAAATAAATCGGTTTCTCCCTGATTGTGCCACTCAGCAGCAGCAGCTTGCTTTTCCATGGCTCAACAATAGAGCAAATCAGCACAGAGGTTGGAGCCTCTCGGTCCTTTATCTCATTAAAAGTCTGTGGACACTTGACCTTTGTGCCTCTGTGGAACGGAAGGTCAGAGTGAAGAATGAGAGCCGAGGCTTTGCATCAGAAGAATATCACATACGCCAATAAAGGCACGTCAGCCATGTCAAAGAGGAGCTGCTGCATAGTCCGCTGACTAGTGCTTAAATTGCCCTTCTGCAGGCAGTCCACAATTGGTTGGAAAATATAATCTAGTTTTTGTCCAGAGCAGTTGGCCAGTTGCCGGCCCTTGAAATTTGTAAGGGCGCCTACTGTTCAGACGCTGCGATGCCGGAGTAGAATACGGGTTGGCGGTGTAGCTGCAGTGCAGGATTGTGGTCGTGGAAGGGTTTTTACAGCTAGTGGCAATAGAGACACCCAACGTGTGTGTTTGCGTGCATGGGTGTCATAGTAAAATACGCCCGCACCTTTTATAGGTCCCTCATCTTGAAGCCATGTGTGCGTGTTTGCCTTTGAAATGCACTCCATGTGGCCCAAGGACAGTTCCCACGGCCCGCCCATTGACGCGTTTAGGGGCGCCGAGGGGGGGCTGCTAAAATGCCCGTCGCAGACTTTGTAGATCTGACCCGAGGCACGTTTATTTTTTAAACTCACACATATACCTCACAAGCCTCAGCGCGCTCTGTCAACAGGGGCAAGCAGAGCTGCCGTCAAGCCTTTGGTTTTCCCATATATCCCTCGGCGGGGGGGCTGCCATGAACCCTGACCCCTTGATGTCACCCTGGTAATCTCCTAAACTCCGGGGCACGTGGAAAACCTGTTGCACAATCACCGTCCCAAATTAGACTCTTGACCTCTAAAAACAAGCAAAACCAAGGTTTCTGCATGACAGCTGGGGGAGGAGGGAGAGTTCAACAATCAAAGCTTTTGATAGGGTATTATCGGTAGAGTAGGGGGGAGCTTCAAAAGGTCAAAGGGTGAATAGACACCATGGCATTCGGCACACCGCATGAGGAATATTTCAGGGCTGTCTGCTGCGGCCGTGCATTGACCTGCAGGGACTATGTTGCTTTGGCTGTTCCATAAGTGACATTTCAGACCGCGCAACCTTTTCTGTACAGAACCTGAAATACATTTGTTGACCGGTACTGGAGGAACCTGAAAAAAGGTGGCATAAATAAAAAGCAAGCAATGTGAAGATACATGTATCACTACAAGTATGATATGCATTTTTACAGCTTTCTAATAAGGTGTTGACCAAATAATTAACTGGTTAATTGAAAGAATAATGGTTCATTAATGAACATTTGAAAAACAGTTTATTTTCATTCATCGCAATTACTTTTTTTTGCTGAAGAATGGTCTTTTATCAAGAGGACATTAATCAGGCAGCCCTACGCTGTATGTTTGGTACAATCAGCGATCACATCTCTGTCGGTTCATGTCTCAACAGTGGCAGGGGGAAACGCAGGAGTTTTGTCCCAGTGCCAAAGTGGTGCTGGTGGGCTGCAAGCTGGACATGAGGACGGACGTCGGCACCCTGAGGGAGCTCTCCAAGCAGCGCCTCATACCGGTCACCCACGAGCAGGTGAGAATTCAGCTGATGGATGTGCGAGGAGAAAAAGACAAATGAGAAAGGGACTTGGATGGTTTCCTGGGAAAAGAAGGAACGGTCTTGAAAACAACAAAAAGGTTTTCAAAAAAAATAAATTAGAAAGCGACTAAGCGTTCACACACACAATTATTCCATCTTGGTATTGCTGTTCAGGCGACTTCCCACAAGAAGGGATGTGAAAGGTGACTCATGCAACACAATGAACCACAGCGCAATAAGCGCCGTGTGAATCCCCTCTGGGAGATGTTGGATCCTCGACCAAAATGAGCTGAAAGACAATTCAAAGTTGCTCATAGCGGACGGCCACAGAAGAGGCACAGGTGGAGGACACATTTACCCTGGAATGAAATATTCATGCAGATTTAGGCATTTTCAAAATGCAGCATAAATAGCTAATCGGATATTGATAAACGAGCGAGCCATTTTGTGCAAAGACGCCATGACCTCCAAGCCCAAGGCGATGAGGAAAAAGCGTGATGGGATGATGAACTGTACGTCGGTGTATTTTAATCAGCTTTCAGCGTGTTCATTTTGTGCTGTCGTGTTGGACACACAGAAAGTGGAGGGGCTTTTTTTTTTTTTAACCATACCACCAACGCCCTCAGAACAAAGGAGCCTTTCTTCCTCACTGGTGTCTCAGAACTTGCCGGAGGCTAAAAACAAAGCCAAAAAAATAAATAATAATCATTAGCAACTGAAAACAACAGACAATCCATTTAAATAATATATGGAAACAAAAGATGGAGTGGCAATACAGCAGCTCTGGTGTAAAATAGATGCCTTGTCTACATTAAACTCTTGTTTGGCTCCTCCTCAGTTACTATTTTCATTTGAGGCAACTATTCGTGTGTCACACAGCAGATGCCAGAGCCGTGCACAAAAAAAAAAAAAAACATCTTTGGTGCTAATCCAATAACCCCGTGTTGTTATCCTGTTGTTGATCTCAAATTGAATTCCAAAACAGCTGGGGAGTCGCTGCAGAGAGTGACCATTGGGTGAACTCCAGACATTTCCGCATTAAATCGGCCCAAGATCCGAGCTAGCCTTTCTGCTTGTCACGACAATCTGGACTGTGGGTCTGTCCGTCCGCCAGCCCTGAATCCGAATCTGCAGTGCCACCAAATTAGGAATTCGTTGCTTCTTATTTGTGGCTCAGTCAACCGCCACAATAAAAATCCAACTACTTCCACTGTTGATGAAAAGCTCCCTGTGTTGGAGAGCATGAGAAATTAGCGTCATGGGACAAGCAGCCCAGTCTCACGTGCTCTAACATTCACCTGGCTTCATCCCGTGTGAAAGTGTCTACATATACGGTTTGTGAAGGCCAGAGAGACTTTATAATTTAATTTGTGCCCGATTTGATCTCAAGCAAACAATTTATGCGCCTAATTTACTGGGTATATTGTAACATTACTCGGGGGTGAACTTCAGTGCACAAGGAGCTCGGTTAGAGAGTTTAGAATCTTCTCCAAATAGCTGCATAGACCATGTCAACAGCGGCCAAGTGGGATCCGTTCCCACAGACTGAGGAGTCCGAGCATCTACATTATTCATGCCTCAGCTGGAGGAGCTGCATTTGTCTCCTGGATCATTGACATTCGGTCGACGGTTTGGATTGAAATCTTTGTCCCGGATCTTTCGGGGTCATTTAGTCTCTACTGTTCAGATATAATGCTGTAATTGTTTTGCACACTACAGATGCAATGCAATGTTTCCTCTCTTGCTAATTGTTTGTTAACTGCTTCTTGCCTCGTCTGTCTCCGCGTTGCAGGGCAGCACGATAGCTCGACAGATGGGCGCGGTGGCCTACGTGGAGTGCACATCCAAGGTGTCGGAGAACAGCGTACGCGACGTCTTCCACGTCACCACGGTGGCGTCGGTGCAGCGGCCGCACAAGCCGCAGATAAAGCGCAGCACTTCCCGCAGAGGCCTGAAGCGAGTGTCACAGCTCCCGCTGCCGCCGCTGCCGGTCCGGACTGAGCAGATAGACGAGGCCCCGACCATGAGGAAGGACCGGGCCAAGAGCTGCGTGCTCATGTAGAGACCCGTCCCACTATGACTCCATATCTATAGCTATATATATGTATATACAAAAGCACAGAAATATATAAACCAGAGGAAGTCTATTTATTGTTTTTTCCATTCTTGTAGTGTTTCTTTTTAATTTTTTGCACTGCAGTAGAGGAAGAGGGGAAAAAAAACACTACAGTGTGAAATTAAATGTTTGGGATTTTTAAAAGGTTTTTGTTGCAAGTGTGCATATATATTCTCAACTGTTGACACGTGTGTTGTTTCAAAATGACCGAAAATTGGACCAACTCTCTGGACACAAGTGGAAAGTCCGTCTTGTCCCGCCTGTTAAAGAAGAGTTTGTTCCCTGAAACTGTGAGGAGGCAACGCGGTGATGCAACAGCGGAGCAGATGTGAGGAGGACCATGATGAAGCAGGACGTCTGGAGATGAAGCTTGTCGTTATCCTTGAACCCGTTGCTCAGTGGACACGGGGCCCTCTGCTCTCGTGTGCTGTCTGAAGTTGCTTTCTCTTCTCGCTGTTCCTGATAGGAAATGTAAAGTATTGCTCAAAGCGGTTTGTAGTGATTAGACAAATAATTGCTTAAACTAACACTGGGAGCTGGTAATGAGATTTGGTAACACTCATATTGTAAAAGGTCAGCGTGAGCGTTTCTACCACAAGTGCATTTTAGATTTTATTCTGCGCATTTAAAAACACGCTTTTTCCTCCACAACCTCCAACTGTGTCAGTTTGATTCACTGAAGTTATTGCTGTTGTAACTATTCTATTTTAAAAGATGTTTCTTTGTGGAAAATAAATTCGTAAAATGTTGGGATTGTTTTGTTTCCATTTCACTATGAAGCAGCAGCTCAACCAAATAGGAAAAGAACCATTTTTAAATCAGAGATGTAAATACTGTGATTATAAACAGACCACCCGTAAACAACCAAAGCTCAGTCTTTTCTCAAGGACTTCCATCTACGTGCATTCCTCTAATGGCTGTCCAAAGCCATACCTGTAAATATGAACTGTCCATTTCTCCTTTGATGTCGTCTCCGTGCTCTCGCGTTGCCCTGAAGGTCATGCGTCACTGCGGCCTGAGGAATGAGTCAGTCTTTCAAAGTAATGTGGACTCTGTGTCGACCTCTCAGCAGGCAAAACAACCCTAAATTGAACTGCAATGCAGCAGTACTGGAGCACTAAAGTAGTGTTTTTAAATGACAGACTCGGGAGCTTCAAACCTTGTCGGCTCGGCAGAGGACGTCATGTGTGAGCACTTTTCGTCTGCAGAGGAACAACTTGGCCTTCCAAACCTTTCTTATCCCCCCTGAGCTCTTCCTGTAAAATAGTCCATTGGTCAGTCCTATTGTGGACGGTTTCTCTGAGGCAGCAGAGCCTTCAGTCTGTTTTTTATGAAGTTGGCGAGCTGCTGTATCCCAACAGCATTTACTGAGTAGGTGAGCGTGGACAGAAACCTACTGCACGTCATAACATGAGGGGCGCAAACCCCCCAAAATGTGAATCTACTTTGTGACTGGCTTCGCCAGAGATAAACCAAGGGGTACCAGTAGTGTCAGCCTCACCAGAATATGCTCGTATTTAGCCTGGATAAGAACTCGAGCAGGTGTACGTCTGTATTACGTCGGTTGAAGACAATGAATTTAAGAATTTAACACCCCTATGCAAGGAAGAAGGATTGTTACATGGAGAGGCCGCTTTAAGCCTACAAAGAGGGGAATATTTCATACTCAAAAAGATTTATCTTCAAAATGGTACATTCCAGCAGAAAAAGGATGGAGGGATTTATTTTGGGGACGGACGAGTCACCGAGGAAGTTGTTGCTCTGGCAGGAAATGAGCTGTGGAAATGAGGTTAGCACCCACAGCAGGGGCGCGAAAACCGCGGCGCCCCCACAGCTCGGACTGAGACTTAAGAGCATCAGTCGTCTTGTGAACGCGTGAACGTGTGCGTTTAACAGAGCGCGTATCGGGGTCCGTTGAACAAAGAGACGTGTATATCTTACAGAGATGAAGACAAAAACAGCCGCTGCTTCATTTGCAAAACGAGGGCGGCGTCGGACTTTATCCTGACAGTCTACTTACACTCGCAGGCAGGTTTATGAATGCAGGAAGACTCGCCTCGATTTCAGCAATCTGATCAGCCATTTGCCCTTTACCGCTGAGATGGCAGGAGGATTAGGAGGGCCTTTGTGGGTGTGATTCTGCATTCCTAAAAGTTTCCTCTTCTATTCCACCATTTCAAGTTGCACAAGCACAGAGAGCCCAGTCATCGTGTCCCTGAATGGAACAGGGCCGACGCCACGGGCACAGGGATCACGCCATCGCCGACGCTATTGGTCTAATTACAACAATTTGCAGATGGGGTTGTGTCCCCCGGGGACGGCAGAGAAAGAGAGGGGACAGAGTGAGTGACAGACACACAAGGAGGAGGAGGAGTGATGGGCAGAGACGGACAGAATCAGTACTCTGTCTGCTGACAAGAGGCTACAGAGCAGAGACACAAATTGCATATAGTCATGCGAGGATTTGTAATGAGAGGCAGTGTGTGACCAGGCTGAAGACACACACACACACACACACACACACACACACACACACACACGAGATCCTCGGTGTTCCACAGTCACAGTGCAGGAATTGACCATCAGTGTAATGCAAATGCCTTTAACTTAATGTGCGAACCTTTCCCCGGTTGCATTTCAAGATTTCTTGCTTTTTAGTTTTTTCTAACAGCAGATACATTCAAAGAAATAACAAACCTGGACCCCCCCCCCCCCCCCCCTCTGAATTTGTATGAGTGTCTGAATTTAAAGGACGAGCATGTTATGCTGAGAACACAACATGAGGAGCAGAGCAGGGGGAGCTTGATTAATGGGAGGAGCTATTTGGAAAGCTGTTTTTTCTTCCGTTATGTGTTTTCAGGTGGATGCTCACATCGCATGTTTCCCAAAAAGATTATGGCTCGTGCATCGTGTCACTGAGTTTCTTCCAGGTCTGGTAAGACGGAGAAGATTTGTTTGGCTTCAATATCTCCGCTCCTACATGTTTAAAAAAGATGGTTGAAATATTGGAGGGCATCGGTTAAAACAACTATATATGTGATGCGAGAGGCAAAACGAGAGTAAGTGAATTACTTTGTCTTCACTCCCCCCTTTTGATCTAGATTGAAATATGCAGATGAGGGTTATGCAGTTGTGTGTGGTCTCAGCTTGCAGCAGCTGCAGAGCCTTTCAGATTGTACACATCTGGTGCTCAGACACCTTGTTTTCCATCCCGGCAGTCGAATAGCCTGTCGGAAAGCAACCATAGCAGAGAGTTTTATTTGAAATACTCCATATTTTGGCATAATTCAGCAGACTGCGCGAGCATTCGTGTGCTCTCTAATTTGAGCACGAAAAGGTGATCAATCTGCTATACCACCTGCTCTATAACGTCACCATGGAAACCGATTTGACTGCTATGACTGTGTGGCTCCTTACGGTCAGACAATCAAATAAGAATACAATTCTAATATAGTTCAGACCTTTTGTTAATAAAACCGCAAACTAGGATTAATAATCGGCGTAATGAATGATCTATTCAAACAGTCTCATCTTTTTGTGCTGCTTGAGGTAGGTCAATAACTCCCAACATCACCCGCCTATCCCCTCGGTGGGAATGCTCATATTTGCTGCAGGGTGTCAGCCATTTACATAGTCACACATTAGAGAGCTGCTCTTTTGGTTGTTCTCCGTTTGGCCACAGGGCAGCTCGACTGGAGCAGTCGGGGGTTTAGTGCCTCGATAAAAGGTCACGTCTCTGAGCATCATCTATTCACTGCTAGTGTAAAATAATCTCACCTGTGCCTCTTTGTGAGACCTTCGTTAAAATTTTATGCTCAAGAAAATTCGTATCTTGAAATAAGTCAGGGAGCTGAGGTAAATGTCATTCGGCTAAAAAAAGATAAAGTTCATTTTCGTGAGAAACCTGATTCGATGTCGTTTGCAGGAGGAAAAAAACTGCATGTTCCACTCCATTTATTGATGCCTTTTGGCTGTGGAAGGAATAGCTTTATGATAGCTACCAACATTTTTAGCTTTAATCCATTGCACGATGGGGCCACTTTGGGGTTCATTGATGGGGTCACCTGCTTTTTTTGTATGCCTTCACTACCCAGAACATTGGGTAAAAGTGAATTTACAGGACGCTGTATTGAACATATCAAAAGGTTATTAGCATCATCAGCTAGAAGTGCTGCCGGTCGCTACTGGAGCAAGAGCAATTACAGCGATGGTGTGAACTCCCAAGCACTCAACAGTGCAGATGAAATAAAAGGACAATTTTTTTTCCCAAATCTGTCCCAGCTTCACCATTAAAGGAACTGTAATTGATATAATTGGGGCCCTTAAACAATAAAAAGTGAATTATGTCTCTCTGTCGAACGCGGTCCGCTTGTTATTGAAATTGTAACACTATGAGGCATGTTCACAGCACTTTGGATAATTATCATGGTGCTGCACCGGAATATGAATAAGCAATCCAGATTGTCCATACATAATATCACCAAGGAGACGGGATCATCCATCGTCTTTATGGGCAGTTGTGATGATTATAGAGTAATAAAGCCCACTTGTTTATCTCAGAACAAGTTTGTCGAGCCGCCTGAAATCCCTCCTGCCGCTCAGGCTTCCTCAAACAATATGACTTTGGTGTTTTGTCACCTCTCACTGCTCTATCATTTTTCTTTCCCATACGTTTGCCCTGCAGACATTTCAGATTGGTGGACTACAATCATCCAGAGCTCAGAACAATGTTGGCTGAAAAATACAAAATACAGAACAGAAGGAGACAAGAAATACAAAAACAACTGATTATGAAAGTGAGTTCTGACAAATGAAGGGAAATGCAACCGAAGCCACGAGAATGGGAATATGAACTTGATCCCAGGTCTCCACAGAGATATTGACGTCATGGCAACCATGGCGGTGACGCCTCGGACTGTTAATGAGGTTGCTGATGTCCAGAGTTTGTTGTCAGTTACCTGGTGGAAGTGAGTCACTCAGAACTCAGAGCACAAAACAAAGAAAAGCATGTCGGGAGGAAATAGACGGAGAAAAACAAGAGCGAGGGAGAGCAAAATGCGGACTTGGGGGGGGGGGGTGTTTATCGGAAGGGAAAAGGCCACAGAGGCATTGCTAATCAGACCTGCGAAGCCTTGAGCACACACTCCAACACATCGCAATGACTGGAGTGTGTTTTTCTCGCGCTCTGTAAAAGGTTCACTCATTTTGACTCTACTCAGGAAACAGTGCTCTCAGGAACACTCACTGAAACTCAGGCAACAAACATCCCAGGGTCTGAATCATTGAACTGTCAGTTGTGCACACATTCAGGGACTCACAATCCCAAACATGCACGCATGCAGTGTGTTTACATGATGGTATAATTCGAATATTTGCATAGTCGGACTAAGCTATCTTTCGGGGTGAGGTGCTATTATCCCAATATACACGGCAGTGAATAAAGCATGTCATACCCAATACGATAGGTGGTGCTGTTTTAAAGTACTAGTTGTGATACAGCCATTTCCGCTTGACCGCTACCAACAACAACCAACAACAACAACATCAACATTACGAGAAAGATGGCGAACGGAGAGCAAGGTGAAGCTACATCCCTCTACTATTTTTGCATGATGTTAATAGAAGTACAGCGAATGCGAATGGCGCTATTGGCTGATTTGATAACGGAGAGAAGACGCCGCCGGGATCTCAAGCAAGTCCAGTTCCTTATCCGATTCACCGTTACATGCCGCAATAGTCGAACTATCAA